TGACAAAATGTTTCATCACTTGCATGTCACAATAAACACGTTACAGCCCAGATAATTAACTGTTGCACCTATTGTCATCCTTGATAGAGGCCATCGTTTATTGCTGACTAACATAATTATCAAAATACTTGATGGTACAGAATACTGTGACATTCTCGAGAAGGATGCTGGGAATAACAAGGACAAAACATGTGAGTAACAAGGAAGTTTTAAGAAAAATGGAAAGAAAAATGATGCTTATACTTAGAATCAGAAAGAGGCATGAAATTTTGGGAACACACAAGGAAAGAGGGCTTGAAGAATATGACACTCACAGGACATATTGGAGGCATGAAAGCCAGAGGAAAGTACTGAGTAATTTATCTAATAAGCTTGTGTAAATGGATGACAGAATATGGACTGGCTAAGCTGGTGAAAAGACAAACCTTACTAAGTGTTACAAAGGAAGTTGTGGAAAGACATGATCACTCACATCCTGAAGGGACACAGCATGAAAAGAAGAGAAAGTAGGCATGTTCTTGAAAGTCATTTAGTGTCCAACAAATATTGTCAAATAAATGTCAAAAATAAATAAGAATATCAAGATAGTAATGCAAAAAATGTTTAAAAAAATTCTGTACTAGATTAAAAGCCACCTTATCAAGCAGCATTTAAGCTAGCTCCTTCGAAGGGCTCTTGATTAGGCCTTCATCACAATAGGTAGGGAGGAGTAGATGCAGTAGGCAACAATAAACTACAGAACTCAAAATTGATCACTACATTTAAGTATTGCATTAATATTCAAGCTTACCTTTTAAAAGTTCAATGATAATTCTTCTGTCGCCACTTAATTTAAAAACAATTTGATGTACGTAGGTCCTTACATTCTGTACAATCAAATTATTTTTATTTCATGGGTGACTTTTGTTGAATGTAGCAATTAATTTTGATTATTCCCAAATTTATTGCCTAGTTGTAAAAATTGTTATACAAAAAAATGTGTTGCAAAAAATTCCGGAAAAAAAAAATTGCAGTAATGAAAAATTGGGAATCCAAAACTTCAGGATTGCAGGTCCAAATCTGGCCTGGAATGATTTTAATTTAAAAATTACTTCAAGTTCTGTTCCAGCAAAATTTTTTACAACACCAAGAGACATTCTTTTTCTGTATCCTTCAAAAATAAATAAAAATACAAGAATTGTCAATTTTAAAAAAGTCCTTTATTAAATTATTTGGGATTTTTTAAATGAAAAATTCCAAATTTAAGGAAAACAATTTTTACTAACAAAAAACAATTTATAACATGTATTGATACATTTTCTAGAATTCAGATGGTTTCGTTGGATACATGAAATACTTTGGCATTTGTCAAATTTTTTTTCTTCTTACCAACAAAGTTTACTGAAAGCTTGAAAAACATTAACCACAAATGACAACAATTTCTGGCCATGCAGTCATCTGGGAATGACAAAGATTTTTTTTTTTTTCCAAGTTATAAAAATAAATTCCCAGTATTTAATAAGGACAGAAATCATTAGAGAAAATCTGTAAAAGTTTTTATATTTTGAATATTTCTATGCTTAGCTGATCGTTTCTGTTTCTGGCCCAATGACCTTGTAAAAGTGACGGTCATAAATTAAAACCTGCCTTGTGATTGAAAAAGTTGTCTATTTTCCCATTTATGCCAATAGACAGGGGCTCAAACTCATGTAAAAGCTAGTAATTTAAATTCTGATTTTAGAGGCTGATCTTCTCCACTTGGAAAATTGGTGCAACATCTTCCTACCTTTCATTTGACCTTGTATTGTACTAAGGTAAACTTAGTAAATAATAATAATAATCATCATCAAAAATCAGTTGGTCATAAGTACAAAAGTATTTTTCCCTACAACTTTAAAATCTGTCTTTTATATTAAGAAGTCTGAAAAAATATCTACAATTTATTATTAAAAATCCCCTTAACTTTATATTTGACACTGAAATAACTTGACAAAAAAATTTATTCTAAACAGTGGTGCAAGAGGATCAAACATTAAAATTAGTATTTAACTTCCTCACAGAAAGTTTGTTTTCTTTTTGGGATCACCAGAAAACAAAAATACTATTAAAAAAATAATAAAAATTATTTATTTTAAATGTCTTCAAATACGGAATTCAAGAAAATTAAAACTTTTTTCTTACTGTAAATGAGTAAAGAATCTGGAACATGATGCAGTACGTAAATTTGATAAGTTTAAATTGACCACATAAGAAAACTTTAAATCCCAAATTTTCATGTACAATGTTACAGTGACAATAAAAATCAGACCAAAGCAAATAACGAACAAACAACAAAAATAAAATAAATACTTGTCTGAATTCTTCTCTTATAACCTGAGATATGTTTTCACAAAATCTTTTTAACACATTTAGAACATTGAACATAATGAAATGGAGAGAAAATAAAGTCAAAAATAATTTTATTTCAAAATAAATTATCAGAAGATATTAGTTGATCCCATTTTTAGAATCAATTTATAAACGGTAAATTCCTTAGTGTCTGTGTATAAATAAGATTTAACAGTGGGTAGCTGAAAATGTATTTTCGCTAAGTAAACAAAGGGAGATAACTAGCAAGATTCTCGTTTTAAATTTTGCAGGAATGACCTCAATCTTTTGCTTTTACTCAGTTTTTTTAATCATTTCACCCTAAGCAAAGTAATAAAAGCCACTAAGATGCTGAACTGGTGCTATGTTGCAAACAATAGCATTATCTTTTTTCTTTTACAGAATTTTTAATATAAAATCAAGTAAATGATATTTCAAAAACCTACCCACCCAAGTATGCTGATATACCCAAATGTTCAGTAACCACTAATTTACATACCATACAGATATACAAAAAAGGTATATGGCAATTTTATGATTAACTCAAAACAAATTCTTCCTGCCTGACCATTTTCTTCTCTAAATAGAAGAAATAAACTGAAGTTGAGAATTTTAAAGATGGAGTCCATAGTAATTTGTGTGGATTTCACTTTTTACAAAAGCAAAAGAATATTTTGAGGAACAAAAAAGAACAAGATTCTAAAAATGACAGCTCCAAGAAGTCTCCTTTAAGAACATGGGTTGGCACTCTGATGGACAGAATGAAACACTCAAAGAAAAAAAATCAGAGAATTTCTATCGAAAATAAAATAAAAGAAAATAAATTCAATGTTTAACTATTCTGAAGAATTTACCTGCAAAGTTTTAAAGCTCTACGAACATTGGAGCCAGCCAATTTATAAAATCCCCAATAACGTCATATATCAGAATCACTTATGTATATGACTTTTACGCACTACTCAACCCAGGGATTGAACTCACAACTACCAAGGAATCAGATTTGTTTTAACCAACACTTTATGTGTATGTTGGTCATATACTCTAGTATGGGGCGTGGGGGTACAAGTAACACTAAAGTAAGGGAGAGTTATCTCCCCTTCACACGGAAAGCAAAATGAGAATGTTCCATTCCTGTGGATTGAAGAAAGGGGTCCATTGGAAATTCCCAAAAGTTACCGAGTACAACAGTTAAAGAAGGCTGAAGGGCACAATGGCCGAAATGTTGTGAGTATAGCAACCAAGATGAGAATGCTAGTATGAATGGAAAGGCACATAACGATAATTCCTCATCTAAAAAATTCCAATATAAAACATTTTTCAGATACAAGAAAATTATTGTATATTCATTTATAGAGGACATCTTGAAATAAATTATGTTATTATTCATACTGAAATAAATTTTTAAACTCAAAAAATCTTAACTGCTTTCTATGATTCTTTTATAAGTTCTGTATAAACACTGAAGTGTGTTGTGTGTGTGTGTATATATATATACACACACACATATATATATATATATATATAGACAGACACACACAAATAAATAAATAATTATTTGCTCAAATCTACTCAAATGATTACTGATACTCAAAACCTTGGAATTAAAGCCACCCTAATCACATAAAAGACATTAATGATAAGTCAAAAAATAAGAATAATAAATATGATAGAAATAGCGTTTTATGTAGTAAATGTGATAAAATTTATATTGGTGAAACAAAAACTTTTTAAAAAAATGTACCTATGAACACAAAAAAGGTACAAAAAATTGGGGATACATTAAATTCTTCATTCTCCCAGATGCAAAATACCTTGCCAAAATAGTTAAATTTATTCATCATAAATCTTCTATATTATAATTATAAATTTGAATTGCATGGATTCATATATGTATGTAAAATTTTACTTATCATAACTTATTTTTCGCTCAACAAATCACTATTTCATTTATTTTAACATTTTCCTATGCACAAATCTCATATATAAGATATGTATTTTATTCATAAATATTTGTTTTTAATTTTGCTGATAAAAATTTTCCAGATTAACCATAGCATTTCTAAGTAGCAAAGTTGCCATGGTAACAATTTTTCCTTAATTCTTTCAGTTGTTCAGATGATGTTCTTATTGAATAAAATGTTGGCAACAGAATAAAAACTTAAACATCCAACTGGTTTTCACATATGCCACTTTATATACTCTGTTCAGATATTTCATATCAGTCATTTATATATTTTAATAGTAAAAATTTATAAACAAATTAACTTATTGCCAAAACAACCAACATTAATTTCTTGTCAGAATTGAATGACTAAGAAATTTATTTACATTACATAATTGAAATAAATTTAAAATTATTCAATTTTGACAAGGTCTCATTAAGGTTTTAAAAATCATTTTTAAAAATTTTTTATAAAAAATAGAATCAAATATCTTGAGACTGAGATATGTCAAACTGGCTGATTTTTTCTTTTACTCCATTTTTATTTATTTTTTTCAAGTAGACCTCCTAGTCAACTGAATTTTGTGGACCCTAAAAATATGTCTATGCTGACACAGCTGATTGCTTGCTATCCAGCTTAATTACATAAATTAACTTTTGATGTTTTTTGTTCTTTTTATAATGGTCAGCTAACAAAAAATTGTCTGTAGTTTCAGTTCAATTTTTTGGCCTTCATCAGGAAGGCAAGTTCCAATTTGGCAGCCACATATCCATTCCTCTCAATCATAACAACTATAATCCCTGTCCAAATGCTGATGGCCAGAGTAGCAATAATGACTGTCTTGAGTAAGATCATTATTAAATGCAGCACATTTGTGTACACTTGGGATGAAGACATGACACATAACGAAAGGCCGCTTATCAAAGCCAGCAAAATCCAAAAGAAACGAATTGGTTGCAAACCTTCAATACTGTTTTTGAAGACAGTGTTAGCTTCTTCCAGAAGCCTGGACAAGACAGGAAAATCCATTGCAGGACACGCTTGAGCTGTCAAATAAACAGAAAATTTTATTACTCACTGTTCCTGAAAAAAATTTGAACATGTTATCTTCTAAAGCATCTCTGTTTAATATATATATATATATATATATATATATATATATATATATTAGAGAAAAACCAAAACTATTGATGGAACCAACAGACAACTTGCCAATAGACCTAAGACCCTCATCCAGATAGTCTCAAACAAAAATGACAATACTAAAAAAAGAAAAGTAAAACAGTCCTTAAGGCAAACCTATTAACTCAGCAAAGTGCTCAAAGCCTAGATTACCAAGACAGAGTAAAAAATGCTTAATGTTAATTCTTATGAAAGGATGGCCCTAGTCACAATCTGAGTTTCACAATCATGGCATCTTCAAAGATCACATATGAGTGAAACGCAGGTTATGACTTTTATAGGTGTGTATATATATATATATATATATATATATATATATATATATATATATATATCTAATGTTACAAACTCAATTAGAAACCACTTTGAGCTCTTTTTGTTAGTCTATGTCTACAAAAAGAAAAAAGAAAAAAATATTTAAATTGCATTTTCTTTTGCTCACTGAACAACACCCCACCCCTGCCAATAAAAAAAACACACAAGATTTGATGGTTCTTGTTCTTTAATTCCCATCTTGAAAATGAAAACTCCAAAATCCCTAATAGTTGGCAGGTGGTGGTGGTGGTGGTGGGATTTGTACAAAATAAACTTAACACCAATTCCTACCAATTATAAAAATGTTCATCTGGTGAAATGCAAAGAAAAACAATTCAAATGCTATGATATATATTGCCAGTTGGTTTCCTTATTTCAAACTTTTGACATCATTTGGATTTGCCTCTTTCCTGCCACCTCGACTAATCTGAAATCCAGCTAAAGAGATTAGCAAGACTAACCATTCAGAAGAAACATTGAAATGTTTTAATTCTCCAAGATCAAACTGCTTGTAAAACTTTAACCAAAACACCACAAATTGAGGTCTTAATTGGTGAGAAAAAAATGATTGATTGGTTTTTTACAGCTTATCGACCTTTTGCATGTTATTTAAAACCAGAAAATATTTTCATATTGTAAAATTTTTTTAGAGATAATAATGGTTTAGCAATACAAATCTTACTAATTAAGCTATAGCTGAGGGGGAGAAGTGGTGAATTCATATCTTTCCCAAGACTATTTGCACCTAAATGAAAATAACAAATCTAACTGGAATTAGAACTCACATCTCTGCTTAACAATTCCAAGCCATTATCCATTACACCACCCACACATCCAACTTTAGCGTACTGACCAAACAAGACTTCAGTGATCATACAAGAACCAGTGTTTCAATGTAGCTTGGCCCTAAGCCCCATAAAAAGAAAATGCAAGTTTAGTGTTTTTTTGTAAAACTGTACTTTAAAATTATGGATGTTAGCTTGGTGGGAGATTTTTTTTTTTTAAAGAATATGGTTTTCTACAGTTATACTCAGCCTTTAGTTTTCGCAAAAAGTAAGCACATTTAGTTTTTATTCTTTTCTTTTTTCTTTTTTGCACGCAATAGTAAAAATCAATTCAAGACACAAATGAAGAATAAGTTCACCTGTCAGTTTCATGCTGAGTGATTTTCAGACATGTTGCATTAATTCTATATTGGTTCATTATAGCATACAAACATGGAAGAGTCCATAAACATTTAGGGAAGGGGTAAGTAGCATAACAAGTATTTATCATTTTGCCTATATTTAAAAAAGCACTTCAGATATTTTGTTGAATAGCCTGTCCTGATGAAGGGAGATACGGTGGAGTAATGGATAGCAGCTGGGATTGAGAAATCGGAGAGCCGAATTCAAATTCCATTACATTCACTTACATGCTAATACCATTGTGAAAGGTGTGAATCCTCCTCTCCTCCTCCAGCTATGAGTAAATAGCAGGACAGACTGGGTTCTATAGCCTTGGGTGGCAACCAGTCTAGGAGAAGGAAACTAAAATCCAGCCTGGAGAGGGTTGGGTTCCATCAGGCTATCTTGCCCAAGAATCACCACTTCTACTGCAGTGTTGTGGTGCCCCTACGACCCTGATGAGTCATGGGATTTTCAATCTGTCCTAATGGGGTCTAATCTAAATTGCAGGCAGCTGCATTCCTCGATATTCCATACTTCACCTCTGATGTTTCTCTGCTTTTCTCTTTCAATTCCTCAAAATGCACATAAAGGTCTACTGCTGGCATACTGCCTTCTCATAAAAGAAGTTTTATAGTTATAACACCCATGTTTCTATGGCCCTTCCATAGCACCAATATAAGACATGCCAATTAAACATTTGCCCCCAGAGGGATTTGGTTATCACTATTCTTGCTGTTACAAAAGTGGGAAGTGAATATGTATCACATGTAGACAGTGCTTTCATGACACATCGGTTTGTGGCTGGATTACATTGTCTATGCAATGAGAGTTTAATTCTATTTAGTTTCTAATAAATATTTTCTTGTCACTGGGAAGTGTTTTGCAATTAGCTGAAAGGAGATACTCCACACTTTTCTTTCTTATCGAGAGTGTGTGTGGGGGGGGATAAGATTTCCTTTTCTGTTATTTTCTCAGGGTTTCCAGGGTTGACAAAAAAAATAAAAAAAACGACAAAATTGATTGCATAATTGTCCTTTAACGCATTCATTTTGGTTAAATTTAAAAAAAGCATTTTTCAGGTAAGCTTACTAAAAACATTAAATTTGTTACCTGTCGGGGAATGAGAGATTGTTAAGGTGGTATTTACACCTTCATGATCAGAATAATTCATATTTTGGCCAGGAATTTTACCCATCACAGTTTGGCATGATTCAACAACGGCTTGGCAACCTGCAAGATGAAAAAAAAATTTGTTCATTAGAAGTCATTCCAATGTTAAGGTCAAATTCACCAGCATGAGAATATCAAGTATCTTGTGGGGTCAGTTCACTCAACTTTATGGGCTCTGATTTGAAATAATTGCAGATAAATGCGATAACTTTATACATTATAACAGATTTATCACATTGATTGAATGAGTAAATGTATTGGAGGACGCAAGATGATAAGAGCAGGAATGACATGAGCTTGGTATGATCCAAATATTGAAATATAGAACATAAGATCCATGAAGATGGATGCAAATATTGGAAAATGCAAGCTGATGAGCACAAGAATGACATATTGGAATACAAAAGATGGTAAAATCCATCAAGCAAAAGATGGATGCAAATATTGGAAGATACAAGTTTTGGTTTGGTTTACGGCATATCAACCTCAATGGGTTATTTAATGCCAACAAAATTTTTATTGCTGGTAAAATTTTGTTTTGTCAAAAATCTATTTCTGGTAATATTTTTCCTTCAAAAATGTGTTCCTGGTAATAATTTTTTTCCAAAAAACTTGCTGGTGATATTTTTTCCTCAAAAATATATTGCTGGTAATAATTTTTTTACAAGTTATTTCTGGTATTAAACCCTTTTTTTACACTCTCATAGTGTTTTACCCCAGTTTCAGGGTTAACTATTTGCCCATAGCTGGGACCCTAACATGTGCTACCACCCTGGGTCAGGGCAAACCTGGGAATGCCAGCAATTAAGAAGTGGTTCCATGCTCCTCAAAACCTCCTGATCAGAGGCCTTACTGTGAGACAGTTTATCTTACCCAGGACACAGATGTAGTTTATTGTCATAACCAGAGGAAGATACAAGATGATAAAAACACTTAATGATCCACAAATTGGATTATAGATGATAAATTCAATGAAGCTTTAAACTAAGATAATCCAAATATGAAATTTTTTAAAAGAAAAAATGGTTACAAGTAATTTTGAGTACTATAAAATTTTAAATTTTATTTTTTAGAGAATTTTCTGATATATTTCGATATATTTATTTGAATAATGTAACCTCTTCACTCAAAATTTTCATATAAAAAATCTGAAACATTTTATCTTTAGTTTGAAACTTGAGTCAAATGACATGAATGTAGATTGAATAAAATAAAATCTAGTTATTTTTCTTTTGTTACGATCTGCCCAGGATTTCTAGTTTTAATTTCACAGTAGTTATTTCAATTTTATTTTCTTGTTAGAATATTTGTAACCATTTTGTCTTGTGAGGTATTCATGACGAAAGTATGCTTTGACAGAGTACTATTAATATTCGTGGAATTCGGTCAAGTATGTCTAAGACATGGATCAGTGAATAGAACATTTTACCTGCATTGGTTCTGTAAAAAATGAAGTCTATTCTCCTCCCGTGGGGGTGTTTTTGTAAAGCTGTCAATGGAGTATAACAGTTGTTTGCAGTTTCATCTGTGCAGCCATGTGGGTCACCGCTTGAAGATTTCTAACAATGAAAAAAATTTTTCAAATACAAAAGCTAAAATCATTTTCAAATTTATTTCCTTTTTTTTGTTAGTTTCTTTTTTTATTTCCTTTTCTTTGATAAGCTAAAAAACAAATAGGAAACTTATCAATCTAACATGTTTCACTTTTATTAGCTTCATCAGAGAATGAGATATGGAGGAAAAAATAAAGAAATTCTGGTAGTTTTACTTTTGTGTTGTTTGATTTTCATTGCTCAATGATGTTTCATGTGCATTCGACTCTTTTAAACCAACATTAGTATAATTTGTAGCATTCCAAATTCAAAGAGATGATGTGTCCATCTGAACTTTCAAGAAATTAACAGATTACAAGCCTAACTGAAAAAACAAATATTGCTATGTATATATGTAAGAGTATAAAAAGTTTAGTTTGTTTATGTAGGTATCAGATGGTAATGTATATTTGTAATAGCATGTGTGTCTGATAGACATTATGTTTGTTAGTTTTTTACATGTTGATTTGGGAACGTTTTTACATACATACTATCATCTTCTGTTTTCTTGACCCCTGTTCCTTTTGGTCCTTTCCTCAATCCTACTCATTCTCTTTCACTCCCTGTAACACACTGCATTCTAATGACATTATCACCTTGCTTGGGGTGAAATGATTAAAAAATATATATAATGAATGTTTAGCTACTTTTAAGTGCACAGATATCAAAGAGATTATCACTGCTATTCCTAAATTAATGTAGGGATGAAATAGTTACCTTTTCATTCCATGTATCACAAAGCATAGCATTGGCCAGAACCATATTGTAGCTGAGGTAGGATGACTCCATGTTGAAATCTCCGCCAACAATTACAAGATCACATGATTCAGAAGTATGTTTCACAAACTGACTGAGTTGAAAAGCTTGAAGAAGCCGATGACCACGATATTCATCATTGACGAAGTTATATTCAGCATGGAACTGAAAAAGAGAAGAAACACACCTGACATCAGAAAACAATGATTATTTTTATTTATTGAAATATTTCTTTGATACAACATTAACATTTATTTAATGATCAAGCAAGAACATTGCTTTAAATACACATCATTGATATGTCTTAAGTTGAGGAATTGATCACAGATTATAACTGTCTTTCAGCTGATAAGCATTTAACAAGGAAGTTTTTGCATAATGAGCCAATCCGCATTTAGCAAGGAAGTTTTTGTATCATGAGCCAATCAGCATTTAGCAAGGAAGTTGCCGGGGATGGCAGTGCAAGCTCCTTTACTTTTCTTCCCCCCCACCACCCACACCCAGAGGTAAACCAAGGAATTTTGTAATGATTATTTTTAGTAATTATTATGTACAGGGTGCGATGGATAAACTGTCGTCTAAATTATACAAAAAATGAAAATAACACTGACATTTCATTTTAACATATATTTTTTAAAATTACACAAAAATATGTTGAAATACTAAAGAGTAAAATTTATTCAATAAAATCACCATTGGCTTCAACCACAGCCTTCAGACAATTTCAGAATCTCCTGCAACTCTTCTTGGCGGTCTCCTTGTTTACGTTGATGAATGCTGCCATAATCCTTGCCTTCAGTCCATCTTTGGTGTTAAATGTTTTGTTGGTCCCTCACTTAACTGCACCCCACACATAATAATCAAGGGCATTGCAATCTGGGGGGTGGGGGAGGTGGCCAGATGTATGGGATGATGTGGTTGCAGAAATTGTCTGACAGCCATGACTGGGTTCTCCTGTTTGTGTGGCATGGTGCAGAGTCCTGTTGCCAGACATAAGGTCTTCCACTCTCTTGATTCAGGGAAGCATTACCTCCACAAAGCACTTGATGTAAGCCTCATTGTTGAATCTGAGTCCCTGTGGGAAGATGAATGGAGGCATAACATCACCATCACTAGTGATCACTCCAAACACCATGATGTTGACTGAATATATCATCCAACTCTTTCCGAATCCTTTGTACTGTCCTCAGATTGACACCCAAACACTCTGAAATGTTCGTATTGACACTTCCAATATGAATGCCAAGCAATACGGCATGCCATTTCCAAATTTCTGGCGGAATGAATTGTGCCATGGTGCTCTTTTTCTCACAGACGGTATCCAACTGGCCCTACTATATTGTGCAGTCAACAAAATCAAACAAAAAAAATATATATTTGCGACAATTTACCCATCGCAACCTGTATTGCAGTCTGCTCCTTATCTATCTATCTATCTATCTATCTATCTATCTATCTATCTCAGTCTGTTCGTATCTATCTCTCTTTATTTATCTATATATTTATTGCAGTCGGTTCCTTATCTATCTATCAGTCTGCTCATTATCTATCTCAGTCTTCATATGTGGTGGAGTGAATTGTGTCATGGTGCTCTTTTTCTCACAGACAGTACCTAACTGGCCCTACTATACTGTGCCAGTCAACAAAATTAAAAACAAAGTGCATACATGAAATTAAAAATATAAAATGGTGACAATTTACTCACTTCACCCTATATATTCATTTATTTAAAATTTAAAGAACTTTTTTATTAATACCAAAAAAAGGTAATTGGTCTTAAGTTTTTGACAATTATTTCTTTAATAATTTATTGTATATTATATTTTTATTTATTACTTTCTAATATTTATTATTTAAATAGTTATTATAATAATAATAATAATAATAATGATGTTATATCTGATGACAATCTGTTTACCGCAATACTTTGCAGTATATAAAAAAAAAAGAAAACCTTAGTTCAAGCTTCCAACATACACCCAAGACATGTTTCTTCTTCTTATCGGTTATTTTTGCTTATCATGCAGGTGAGGGAGCATCATCCACATCAGTGGACCCCCTTCCAGGTAACTGGCTAGCTGCACGCACAGCAATTCTCACTCCATTTGCATCTGTCATGAGGGTTGACTGCAGAGAGCTTCCACTCTGCAATCATGTTCTGTAAGCTCCCTCCATGACATCTTGGGCCTCCCAGGTATTCCCTTTCCTTTAACCTGAAAGTCATGGATGCACTCAATATGCCCGCTTGAATGTTCCACATATCCATACCAGCTACCAGCAAAACTTACTCTCTCTCAGAACAAGATCAAGATCCTTGAGATCAAGCTACGCAAACAACTCATTTGATCATGTAGTGACTAGGTGCTCAAGGTCCCAGTCAAATTCCACATTGAGCAGCCTTTCATAATGTTCTAGCCATGTTTTCTGTTTTGCTACTTCACTCACGGACATTTTACCCACATCATTCGTCACAGGCTTGTCTCAAACAACATCCACATTCTCCCGCCGTATCTGGTTGGCAAGGTGGGAAACCTCTGACAATGTTCCCATCGACAACTCTTTATCAGCCATGTGGTGAGCATGATGCACTGCCTGTCTGGCAATGTGCTTGGCAAAGTCATAAACCATCCTAGTGCCCTTGCCAGCCTTGCATGCCTTGAAAACCTGCTGCTTGACCCTAACTGAGATTTCCACAAGGTCATTCTACCACCATGTTTCTTTTTATCATCGGTGAGGCTTAGTTGCACCAGAAAACTTCTTGCTTGTCTTGAGCAAGCCAGACTTAAGGCTAGCCCAGATTTCCTCAGTGGTAGCATGGGCTACCCCTGCATACAAGTCAAAACTTTCCGGAAGCAGTTTTATTTGAGCATCCTTGAGCTTCCAGACTCTTGAATGGGAGGTGAACCTGCACTTAGCCAGAGGCAGAATGATGATTTTCATGTCACACACCAGGAGCTGATGCTGTAGAGGAACTTCCTCGCTAGGTTATCAGCTTCACATCCAAGACAAGTTTGCACATACTTTTGCAAAACAGGATGAAGTCAATCTGAGGCAGCATTTCCCAATATGTATATAAAGTGGTTATCATGTTTCTTAAAACAGGTGTTGCCGAGAAGAAAATCAAATGCTTGTGCATACTTCATAATCCTTTTTCCCCTCAGTATTGAGCTCCACCCTGCCATAACCCAGTCTGCATGGACCTCTCTGAAGTCAGTACCAGAGCTCTCCACATGATCATTCCAATCCCCACATGGGATCAAAAATTCAGAAGCTAGAATCCTGGCAGTAATGGCATGCAGTTGGTTGTAAAGTAGTTTTCACAGTGGAGGCTTGTATTTCACTAAGTTGTCCTAAATTTGGTTTGATGTACAAAACGTTAGGAACTTGCAATAATAGTTAATGACGCAGCAATCTAGTTGTGATGGTGGATACTTCAATGTCTGACATTGACTGACTCACTTAACTCCACTGAGCCCAACTGCTCTACTAGTACTACTACTCCTACTTATTATCGCTGCATCGAGTTCAGCCAAATTAATGATGCCAGGCATATTAATTTGGCTGAACTCGATGCAGCGCTTAAAGGAGTGAATCTAGCTCTCCAGTGGGAGGCGACAACATTGCACTAGGTTACTGATTTGGTGTGTGTGCACTGGTGGATTTCAGACACCTTGACCGGGAAGGCACAGGTGAACACAAGGGCGGCTGGCGAGATGCTGGTTAGGCGACGGCTGGGCATTTTGTGATCGCTGGTGGAAGAATATGGATTGACCATAGACGTGACACTCGTACAGTCCTGTCAGAACCATGCAGATTGCCTCACCAGAGTACTGCACAGGTGGCTAGAACTGCTCAAGAGAGGAGAACCGGCACTCGAGAGCTGTGCAGTGGTAGGGAGACGACTGGATGAGGGACGAGGACCAGGTTGCCAATACCAATTGTCAATGCGGACATCTGGGCATGAAACGAACTCTGTACTTCGCCAGGTTAGTTGACCCGCAGGTGTCCAGAGAAAGCGTTAAATCCATCGTGAAGGCCTGCACAACCTGTCAGTCGATCGATCCGGCACCCGTTCACTGGGAAAGAGGAGAACTGAGCGTGAAGAGCATCTGGAGCAGACTGGCGATGGACATAACTCACTACAATGGTGAGAATTTTTTAACGCTTATTGATTGCGGTCCCTCCAGGTTTGCGGTATGGCGGCCGCTGCGCAGACAAGACGCAAGTACCGTCATTTGACTGTTGGAGAATGTTTTCCTGGAGCGAGGCCCACCTGTGGAAATACTGACGGACAACGATACTGCATTCACCAGTAAAGACTTTAAAGAATTTGCAGACAATTGGGACGTGCATCTGTGGTTTCGATGTACCTACTCGCCAAGTGGAAACGGCATCGTTGAGCGGAACCACAGAACCATCAAGACCATTGCAGCCAGGAAGGCTGTACAGTATCGGAGGCGGTTTACTGGTATAATGTCGCCCCGAAAGATAACGTTTCACCATTCACGGTGCCGGCTGATGCACTGCACAAATATCATGTCCGTGTGAAAGGCATCGAAGCCAACCCACTGCCTGAACTAGAAGTGACTGGAGGGAGATTGAAGACTTGCGACCGGTGATGCAATCGCTACCGTTACTGAGCGATGAAAGCGATTCCGTGTCTGAGAGTAGTGAGCGTTCAATCTGCCTTGAGTTAGACCTGCAGGGCAGTGATTCTGATAACAGCAGCCTCCCGGCGGACACAGTGTTTACCGACACTCAAACCACAGACGAGAACACGCATGAGGATGAAGCTTGTGTTATCCCCCTTCGGAGGGGGACTCAACGGCGACGATCGCCACCTCCTTGCCCTGTTTGTGATCATGAAATCAGGAGGGAGTGTGGGGAAAATTGTGAAAATGGCTTACCTCGGAAATGCGTTCGAATCTGTGCAGTGTGTAAACTCCGGTCCTCCCAATGGCAAAAGAAACCAAAATGGCAGCGCCCATATTTTATGCCGGGCGGTCTCGGTTAGTTAACGCAAAATCACGTTGTCTTGTCATTCGCATGCAAATCGTGGTCGGTCCGCAGCTGTATAAAGCAGGCTCGTTTTGCTGTTTCGGATCAGAGAGCTTTCGGCTCGTGAGAAGTTTGGATGTGCGACACCGGTTTCTTTGTTCCTACCTGCTATCATCAGTTGAGTTGTTGCGTTACCTCCCACAGTGTGGGAGAGTCTATTACAATAGAATAGGTAATGTTCTAGTATAACAATCACTAAGACCACTCTGAGGAGCATAAATGGACAAGAACAAGAGCACATGCTGGCCCACGAGTTTTACCAGGATGATATTATAAGAGACCTTCAAACACCTTCTCAATCCACTTCTCTACCGCCAACACTCCCACACCAGCAGTACCTTTGTCATTTCCAGAACAGAAGTGTTTATACCTGGTGTCATTCCTCTTGAGTGTACAACAATGGCCACTACAGTATCTAGTTTCCTGGACACAACAAACATCTACTTCCTGCGAAACAGTGTTTCTACCACTTCACATACCCTTCCTCTTAAGGTGTTCTCACCGAATGAGCCAACCCTGAACTTTCTCAGGCACTTTCTTGATTCACCACAATGGCCCGACCCTTCTTCTCACACTCGAGAGAAGGCCAAACCGGAGACTTTACCGAAACAACTCCAAAGTTTGCTGGCACTACCTAACACAGGATCTGTTGATGAGCTTGCCACAATACTAGCAGAATGAAAAAATTTTTGACAGGATCACCTGTCATTCCAGCTCAGGCTTTAATGGCAACTGAGGACTGTCCTCATAAAGGTATCATCCACCAAACCACACTATTTGCCCATAGCTTGGACCCTAACTGGTGCTACCACCCAGGTCAGCATGGACCTGGGAACAGCAGCAATAAAGAGCTGGTTCCACGTTCCTCAAAACCTCCAATCTCCTGATCAGAGGTCCTGCTGCTGAATATAGCTTATAATCATACTTACATGAGTCACATAGATGTTGATATTGAATCCATTCATATCGAGTTTTACAAGACCAACACCTTTACCCCCAAACCAGTCGCCATGAAGTAATTTGTGAGCATAACCATTCAGATGGAACTGAAGATAATGCGTGTCTTTGATTGTGAATTTTGAAAAAACACACATCCCACTTCCAATGGCACCACTGGAAAAGAAAAAAAAACACACATTCAATTTTTTGGTATGAAAATATATATAAAGAAAAATAAAGAAAGAACCCTGAAACAAGTCATATACAAAGGGTGGTTATAAAACAAAAAAAAAACTTTTTTAATTTCTATTTTCAAAGTGGTCAGTAAATTTTTTAAAAATTTTCTGAAGTTCATTTTTTAAATTAAGAAGGTTGCTCTAAAAGTAATTCCACCTATTATCTTAACCAATTACATCAACAGCAGATGTAATGACATGGAACCAATAACCTCATTTTTTTGGCTTTATTATGGACAACAGTCTGGTAAAATGACATCTGACATGAAAGTGTGTACCGCTGAATTTGTCTAGGTAGAAAAAATTGCACTGATTTTTATCAATGCTTGCTGAAACTTTATGGAAACCAAATAATAGATGAGAACACAAGGCAATGGATAATACTTTTCAGCAGTGGCAACAGCATATGACAAATCCTATTCATAAGTGTGGCAAGCAGACTTCACTTGCAAAAATAAATAGCTAATCATAGTGACTATGTGAAAAAATAGTAGCTGAAAACTTTTATCCAACAGTGTTGTTTTGTTACCTGTATTTTCAGCCGTTTCCATAGAAATAAATAGGAAGCATTACTTTCAGTGCATCAATTTAATATTCAAAAACTGAAATATAAATCTTGGAAATCAAAACTTTAAAAAAGAAATAAATTTGAACAATTTTTGTCTAGAATTTTGGGATAAAGTATTTTCATTATTCAACTAATTATTCAAATTACTTTTTATATTTTATGTTTTTAGCAAATATATTTAGTTGACATAGTCAATATCTTTACTTTAGAAAAAACCCCTGAAAAACTACAATTTTTCAATTTACAAATGCAATAATGTACATTAATTGCATTCAGATTAATGTCTTCATCTTTGCTGATACTATCACAACATTTTGTCATTCTTCAGCTCATTAGACTAAATAATTTATATGATGATAACTCTTTACCCCAGGAATTCCAGCAAAAAGTAAAATAACTTTTGTACTGTCATAACAAAAATATTTACAATAAATATTTCAAATATAAAATTAAATATTTCAAACAAAAAAAAAAAAAATTGGTGGGAGAAGACACTAAATAAAAAGAAATTATTCCTCAAAGGGAGGAATGATTGAAAACCTGAAACATAAAATGTGTTCAATATGACACTAGAGCTGAGCTTGCAGTATTCCAGTCATTAAGTGTAGCACTACATGCTGTGCGTCTTTCTGCAGTAATTTTCAGGTCAAGAATCCTTGCTCCCAATTCCAGATGTAGCAGTATGGATTGGAGTGTTGACTAATTATCCCAGTCACTGATCTAGTGACGTCCTAGACAAAAGACTCCACTACCCACTTTGTTTATGAAGCAGTCTTAAGTGCAAGGTGGAAATATCACAAGCCCAAGTTAACCACATATCATATAAAACTAAAGTTAATAAATTCCAAAGTTACATAGGTGATTCGAACTAGAAACTTCCTTTCTCCACTTCTAATGATTGACAGTGATTTGAAGTGTTCTGAACTTTAAATTGCTTGTTTATAACTATGGTAAGGATAGCACAATAGCTGTAAGCATCTGTATGTGTCTTTCTCATATCAAATGTTTTGAGTGATAATCTGGTGGCCTGATACTACAATCTGCTGAGTTTTGCATCTTGCAAATGTCTGTTCTCTGCCAGTCTCCACAGAAGTCACTAAAGTGTGCCACATACTTGTATATAGGGAATGTAGCTTACTGAGAAGATAACCAATGATATATTGATATGCTTTGACCACTAATTTACATTCCCTAAGAGTCTCCTTTGTTCCAGAAATCACATGGCTAGCTAACCACTTGATAGAGTTCTGATGATCTTATTCCTGAAAATTATTTTTCTGGTGAAATCAATCACAAATATGCCTTTGTTAGCAGAGTTGTGTTTTCTTTAAAATGTTTTGTCCAAAATAATTCTTAGCGAGAAAATACACCAATCAAGTGTAGAGGTTTTTAAGTACACAACTTTATCTCAAGGATTTTTAGAGATTTTTTTTTTCAACCAAGAAAGAAATTTGTCATCATTTTCACCTGATTTGGCAACTTTAGCCATACTCTCTCATACTGAGTATTTTCCAAGTTAATATTTAGCCTTGGTTCCTTAATAACCGCTCAAGTTATCTAATTGTTTGAAACTAATCACGTCTATTCTATTTCAATAAACATTAAATGCAATCAAGCCTTCTCTCACATTCTTCCCTAATTCTGTATCATAAAACCAGTATTTTCTCATTTAATTCTGTTGACCACTGTCAATCTCTCTGGAACTTTACTCTCCTCAAATGCAATGTCATCACATCAGCTCAAAGAATATTAAAAAGAAAATTTAAAGGAATCCAATTAGGAATAAAAATATAAAAAACAAAACAAAACAAAACACAAACAAAAGGCAAAGAAATATTACCAATATCTATATATCAAATTTATTAAGATAACATGATAGATATTTCAGATTATTATTTTTTTTTTTTTGGTAATCTTTTTTCACTTATTTTATTACTAGTGTAAACAGATGAATGTCTAAGCTTGTAGTGAAGCTTTATTCAACACAATTTGACTCTTGCTCATAAGTGAGGTTCAATCATTTCTTTTATAGTCAAGTAGTTCAAGGGGAAAACAATTATGATTGCCATTCACCACAACTAGTTTTAATTCCTCTTAATTTTTGCTTTTCATTTAAATTACAAATTTAATAAAAAATAATTACTCAACAAAAATGACTAAGAGAATTCAAGAAAAAGTGGTTAAGAGAATAACTGTACCATCTAACAAGCAACAGGTAAGACAACACCTTTACTATTCTAGGTTTTTGAGGTGTGGGATAAGAGATCAAGTTATGTTATTAATTACATCTTTCTATTCAATTCATTGCTGTTTGCAATAGCAGTCACAGACTTTATCCAGAATGTTAAGACAAAAAGCAACGATCATAAGATGAAGTAAAACTGGTAATAAAATAATAATGGATAGGAACAACGATAAATACAAACAGGAGCAAAAATGAATCAAGTCCAAGACCAATTTTGTGATGCAGGTAGAATTTTTTATGATACAGAAGAGCCTGCAAGATGAATTTGTTTTTTTTTTTTTTGTTTTTTTTGGGGTTTTTTTAAGTATTATAGCAGGTACACCAAACAGACTGGGAAACAGAAAGAGACAAAGAAGAAGAAATGGAATATGCAAGAAACGTATTGACCCAGAAATGTTAGGTGTGTGCAAAAGTTTCCAACAATAAGTCTGGTTTTAACTGTGTATTCAGTCTTTAGTTTTCAAAAAAGTGAATGTTAGGAAACTTTTGCAGACACTTAATACATTGCAAATACAAGAAAGGTAAGATATGCTGCAACCAAAGGACAGTATTCATCCAGATCCAAAAATTGTCTTTACAATTCTGAATATCAGAATTCAAGAAAATCATCTGTAATCGCTTTATCTGACATTTCTTAAAACACTTCAGAATGGTTTAACTGGATTGAACCTAGGAACCCAAAAAACCCAAATTGGTCACCAGATTTTGAAACAATAAAAAATAAAAGCAACTTTAAAAATAAAAATTTTTTAAAATCTATATTAGATATTTCAATGTTCATTTACATTGCATAAGAGAACAAATCTTTTTATGAATAAAAAATAAAAATAATAAAATTAACCAAACATTCTAATGAAACATTAATGAACTTACATCCTCCATTAAATTATTATGAATTAGAGAATCTATTAGAAATAATATGCACATAGAAATCTAATAATAGACAGAAAGTTGACTTAAATAAACTGCATTCTTTGCAGAAACCCAAATTAAAAAGTTCCAAAAGTTTGTAAATAAAATTCAATAAAAAATAAATGTAAATATAGCAAAGAAAAAAAGAAAAGTACAAGATGCTTAGCAGTTTTCCTGTGAAGAGAATTTTATTCAATGAGGAAGAAAAGGCAAGAGAGTTCTTTTCCAGAAAGAAAAAAGAAAAACAAAGTAAATAAGAGAGAAGAAATGAAAGAAGCTTTTCTTACATGAATTTTCAACACAGCATGAGTGCTGAATGAAACTGATCCTAAGGGTCACAGCCAGCACACAAAATTGAAAAAGGCAGCAGATACATTTTAATCTTGTTTTAAGCTTTCATTCATTGACATTTTGGGGAAGACCTTCAGGTGATTTTATTCATGCAGAAGAGAGTTAACAAATTAGGAATAAAAAAAAAAAAAGAAACATTTTAATTTTAACAAGAAACATTTTTTTCTCTCTGTTCAATGGAAGATTTTTCCCTCCTCATCTCTGTGATGATAAAGCAGCAACAGATTGAAATAAAAAATTTTTCAAGGACAATAACATGCCTGGATTTTAATATTTTTTAGTGTTAAAGACATTCACTATGATTTACACATGGCAATATATAATGTACAAATAACCAAGAAATCCTCTTAGGGGTAGAACAACACAAGCACTTTGCTAATGATACATAATTAAAGCATCAGAAGAACAATGCAATGAACATAAAAATTGATTAAAAATAATACAAGAAAAAAAATTGTAGACAGTATAGGAACAGAGGTGCACTACAAATACAGGAGAAAAGACATGTTTAACAAAGTAAATAAATATTACCTTTTTAAACAAGTAGAACAAGAAAGCCAGACAAATCAACCAATCTAAACTAAAAGGACAATAACTCAAAACACAATGGAGTTATGGTCCTTTTCTACTAGTTGAACTGCGGCACTTCTGAATTTAACAGAGTGATAAGCTGACACACATGTGGAACTCCTGGTTTAAATCCGAACAAATTCTTGCTGTTCTCAAGCAGTAAATAAATAAGTTATTTTATTATGTGTTAAAATACACTTGTCTTAATTTTCAATCATTTTTGTTCATCCCAACAACCTGGGATATAACAAATTGTGAGTCACGAGGACTCAAACTTAAAAAAATCAACATG